CTCCTTTCACCTGTCACTTCAGTGCTTGCCACTGTCATGTGACTCTAAACCCTGGTTGTTTGTGTCACATGGGGTAGATATGCTTATAGTGTTGTAGGTAAATTCCAGAAGAAGCTGAAACATCAGCTATATAGAAGTTGGCAGAGCTCCCTCTCTCCCTCCCTCCCTCCCTTCCCTCCCTCCCCCATCTCTCTCCCCCCCTCTCTCACACACACACACACACACACACACACACACACACACACACGCCCTAACAAGCACATATGCAAACTATAGGCAGAATCCATTTGAACGGTTTTAAATAGTGTTTCTTAGATCAAGCACACATACAAAAGCTCTGACTTGGGCTGTTACAGTCAGGTTGAAGGTCAAGAATCTACCAGGGGCAGATCAGTTTTGTTTAATTGCAGTTCTAGCGTGGACTGTATTTTAAGTAAAAGTTCTGTGGACATTTTTACTATACAGCTTTGCGATAAAAAACACAGTACACCATATTAACACAAACATTAGTGTCTATAAGTAGCCTCCTAAACAACTAGAACCCTATCCCGCACTGCACTACAGGATCAGTTTTCTACTGTATAGAAAGGTATGCAGACAGCTCTCACCAAATTATTTAAATATGACCTGTCTTAAAATTGTAAGGGTAAAGTCCACTGGAAACATAACATCCTTAATGCAACATTTCGGTCTGTGTGTTTCCCCTCTACAAGAAATAGAAATTAGGTCAGACATGCATTATAGCAGCCTGGGAGTTTGAGAAATTGACACTAACCCAACAGTATATTACGTTACATAATAGAGGATAGTATTCAGATAATATACCTAAATTATTAATACCAAATAAATCCTAGATTATTTGTTGTATAATGCCCAATAGCTTACATGACAAAATGGTATTTTAACCTAATTTCTAGTTTGAGCCCTCAAATACATTTTTTTTCTAAAGGTCTTACAAATTTGAAAGGTTTAAAAACCAGAGCTCATAATTTGAAGTTGAATTTTCATGTCAATTGTTCTTTGTATTCTAGCTATTATTCTTTTGTTCCCCCCACACACAGCAATGCCATCACTTTAATACACATCTGTTGTTCTGCTGGAAGATGAAGGCTAGCATGCAAATATACTGCCCCCATCTTACAGGACTTACATATTTGCTTTTTAGAGCCCTCCGGTCACTGCTTACCTTTCTACCACAAAGAGTAGAACATTTGGCTGGATTCCTTGACAATATCACCAGCTTCCTAGTTCTACAAATGGAGTTCAAAGAGGACTACCAAGCTCACAGCTATTTCTCAGTGCACACACAGCCAGGGATAGGGACCGATCCTTTTAGCCTAACTAGTCTTTCTTCATAAATTCACATTTCAAAATAGGTGGTCACTCATGAGAAACGGGTCCACTTACATAGGAAACACGAGTTTTCTTTGTCATGCTTTTGTCAGTAGAAACATTTTGAAATACAAAACATCTTCTTGCTGATTCCAACAAGATGAAATTGCAATTCTAAAGAGGTTAACTCTTACAGGAACATCTTTAAAAATGATCATCAAGGACTGTCTATGAAAATGCCCATCCAGGCGTGCCATTAATTAGCAACACTTGTGAATTCTTCTCCAAACCGGGGAAAATGATGAGTTCTCCTGACATTCCCCATCCATGTCGTACTGACACAGGATCTCACACAGCAAAGCAGCCAGTGGGTGTCACAGGGGATGTGTGGGAGACTCTCCAAGGGGAAGATCCAGGCACTGACGAGGAGCCAGTGTTTCAGACATGTGGCTTACGCATGCCTACAAAGTCTTCCTCCCAGGATTCTTCAGGAAAAACTCAAAACACCTGAGGTAAATCAATTTACACACACAAAATACACACAGATTCACAATATTTACATTTTAAGTTATTTCGTATTTTGTGAGATGGCTTGAGGAAAATTGGCATATGGGTTTCCTGGGGAATTAGGCATTTCCCATCATTTCCCAGTTCATCATTCACCTATTGGGCTTCCAGCTTAACAAACACACAGTAAGCTCTAATCACAATGAAGAGAAATGAGAGAACATGACAATACACAACACGCTGGAGACACGTGTTCAAATATTTTCTTCAAACAACCAAAAGATATGTTTTAGTTATTTTGATTTGGGTGCCATTCAAACTGTATAAAAAGGTTATGAAGACCAGGCTCTGCACTCTCTCTTCTCTTCTCCTCTCTCTCTCTCTCTCTCTCTCTCTCTCTCTCTCTCTCTCTCTCTCACACACACACACACACACACACACACCAGCTCTGTGTCTTCACTAGTTTTTTTTTTTTTTATAACATGGATGAGGTTTAATTCTACTTGTACACATAGCATCTGTTTAACCTACCATCTACCATATTGAGAGAGTTCATTGCACCCACATGTACAGTTTCATGTTTAAGTAGAAAAGCCTAACTTGGGGAAATGATTTTGGAAAATCATAAATTACAGCCCATTGAATACACAATTGTGAGGAAGCATGCACACATCTTCATGTCTGTCACCATCTCCAAACAGTACTCCTGGGATCCTGCTGAGACCTCCCCCTCTGCTCTTGTCTTCAGGTGAATCAAGTGGCCAACTGGAGGCCAGAGCTTGTACCAAATCCTCAGTGTCACCCCATCTCATTATAGGGATCCCATCACCAACACCTGCTCACCCCCTAAGTTGGCACCCACAAGAGGCATCCCTGTGACAGGCTTCAACCACAAGATATCACAGTGAAGCGCTTAGAGATGCAGGACATGTTGTGTAGCACGATGCCCAAAAGGAAGACCAAAACACAGGCCACCAAGATGACAGTGCACACGCCAGACCATGTGGAACTCTTCACCACACCCCGTCTGTCAGGCTCCTCCTCCACGGCCTCTTGGGGAGCTCCACCCTGCAGGGGCTGTTGTTCTGCAGGGATGGTCACCACGGTGAGGGGCTTCTGCTGGCTCCCTGGCAGCAGACGGCAGCCCATGTCTCCCGGCAGGAGTGTGCGCTCCTTAGAGATGGGCAGGGGCAGCATGTAGCACCCATTGCTTGGAAGTTTGATGAAGACTGGGGTGTGCTCAGAAGTGTGCGGTATGGCAATGACTGCCAGGACCTCAGGGTCATCGGGCAGCTGTGATACAGAGAAGCCTGGGGGCAACTTGGTGATACCGCGGCACCATGGGCACCTTACATCCTTCTGGCTGGTCCTCATCTGCTGGAGGCACACTGAGCAGCAGGTGTGCTTGCAATCCAGCAACTTGGGCCTTCGTCGTGGGCTGTAATAATTAAAACAGATCTGACATTCCAGCAGGGAATCCTGGGAGAGTGTCTCCATTGTGGACTAAGAGCCAAAGGGCAAGGCCAACAGGAAGGTCAAAGAGCTGGTTCTCCAAGGTCACCACTCTGAGTCAATCTTCTCAAGGTCTCTAGGGCATCAGCAAGCTCACAGGCATCTAGCATTCACGGATGTGCTAAATTCTGAGGAAGAAAAATAATGCAAATGAAATTAATTAATCCATTAAAAGATGTTGCAATGTGGATTAGTTCAAACATATCTTAGCTCAAAAGTCTTGACCCTGGGTCAGAATTAAGAAAGTGTCTCACTACTGAGACTGTAGGCTTCCTGTAATGCCCCATAGAAAACCAGTTTCTTGCCTTTATTCACCTCCCAGTAAGAATTCCCAGACAGACAGAGGGAACTTTATAGACCAGGTGCTTTGTGTGAGCATAGCTTTACATTTCATCATTTTACATTGTCACATAATGCTTCCACAGATTTGTGGAACACAATATGATGTCTCAATACATGCTCAATGATCAACATAACCTGTTACCTCAAACATTTACTAATGATTTTTCTTCTCTTTTTTTTTTTTTTTTTTTTTTTTTTTTTTTCTTTTTTTTTTTGTGTTTTTTTTTTTTTTTTTTTTTTTTTTTTTTTTTTGGCCATTGTCTCTGTGTGTATGTATATGTAAATGCATGTGTAGGCCCAAGGCTAATGTCAGGTGTTTTCCTCAGTTTCTCTCCAAACTGTTCATTGAGGCAGGGTCTGTCAATTGAACACACAGTTTGCCCATCAGCCAGCCTAGCTAACTTGCTTACACAGGGTCCCCTGTCTCTGTCCCCTGAGTGTTGGGTTTACAGGAAGCCACCTCACCTACCAGGCATTTACCTGGGTGCTAGGGATCCAAACTCTGGTCCTCCTGCTTGCATGGCAAGTAATGTACTTGCCAGCACCATCTCCTCTTTATTAGCTTATGTGGATTCCCAAAGGAAGGGGTTTCATGGTGACAGTTCCAGGCAGGCAGACAAATGGGCTCCTTTCTCACAGGAGATTGGAATAGCCCCACAGGCAGAAGTGCACAAAGCCCATCGTTTTATCTCTTCCTCCAAACACCTTTTGTGAGATCATTCTTATCAATTAGTTTTAAAGGAGAACAAAAGAATAAGTGTGCCAACAGAAGCAGAGAGCATCAGTGGACCTGGAAATGCTGCAGGCAAGAGGCCAACTCCACAGAGAAACCACTAGTCAGTGCTTTCAATTTCATGATTATTTAGGCTTGCCTGACTAAAGCTTAGACTCTGTGAGGTTTTTGGCAGTGGCTGGGAATGAACCCAGGAATTCACATGTGTTAGGAATGTACTCTGTCATGGAGTTATACTGTCCAGCTCCTAAGAGCACATACTCTTAACTCACGGACCACAACTGTGAGTGAAGAACTAACAGAAAATAGATATAGATATAGATATAGATATAGATATAGATATAGATATAGATATAGATGGCTGCCCAGGTCTGTTTCCTGTCTTAAGTGTCCATATTCTGCTTCTTTGTATGAGTCATGATTCTGGAGAGAACTATTTGCCATGAATTTTTTTATATTTCTAATTTAATTTCCCTTATGAAATTAAAAACAATTACCCTCCTTGATACACACATGATTAAAATAAAAATTTAAATGCTTGAAGAAGCAACACAGTTTGAAGACAAACAGTTTATTATGTACCAAAGAGATGGCTGAGGGTAAAGTGCTTGTCAGCTTGGCAAACTCCCTTCAAATCCCCAAACCCATGAAAACTGTCCAAAGCTGGAGCTGGCAGCCCACATCTGTAACACCAGCATTCCAAACTGTAGTAGGATAGGAAGCAGAAACAAAACTGCTCAGTTCACTGACCAGCTAGCACAGAGCACACAGCACAACAGCAGAGATACAAGAGACCTTGCCTCAAACAAGAGGGGAGGAGACACGAAAAGATGGGAACCATAGACATGCAATACAAAAATTAATCACTGATCAAATTAAATGATTAAAAGAGAAATGTGCTTTTTGTGTGTTAAAAGCACCTATTTCAAATTTTACTAAAACTAAACTTAATAATATCATTCAGAAAGTTTCTTTCAGAATCAACTACATTTGCAATCACTAATGAGCGATCTGTCATGTACAAGGTAGATATATGCCTAGCATGTAGCATATATACATACATGTGTTTACACATGCATTCATGTGTGCTCACAGGCAGGTAGAAGTCACAGGACAACCTAAAGTGTCAGTCTTCAGTCATCTTCCCCTTTTTGTCTTGAGACAGTCATCTCTTATTGGGCCGGAATTGCACCAACGGTCTAGACTTCGCTGGCCAGCGAGCCCTCTACCCTTCACCTCTCATGGTTCCATTGCTAGGATTACAAGTGTATGCCACTCTGCCCCACTTTTTACATCAGTCTTTGTAGCTAAGATTTAGGGTCTACCTACAGAGAGTTCCAAATTAGAGCTGGGAACTCCAACTATTTATGCTTTGTTACACTGTGTCAGAAGGACTGGAGGAGTCAGGGGTGTCTAGTGCAAAATATGAACCGCTATAGAGAAGAATCTGTCATGTAGAGCTGGAGGCTAGGCAGGATGTTTTCAGGTTAAGAAAGGCAACACAGCAGTCATTATCTAATGATTCTTCTACCTCCCACATTAGTTAGAGGGTTGTCGATAGTATGAGAGAGACTTACTGGTGTCTTCTCAAAGAATTTTACAGCTTTTGCTCTTCTCTTTGCCTTTGACAAAGATACCTTCAAAGAAAGAAATGGTAGCTCAACACTAGAACACTTCCCAGAACATACTAGGCCCTGAATTCCATGCCTAGGACCATCCACAGAAATAAAGGGCTGGGGAAATAGCACAGTGACAGAGTGAAGAGCCATGTTATCCCCAGTATGGCAAAGATTACATAAATAAGTTACTTCTCAGAAAGCCTATGCTCTGAATCCTCTTCCAAAGTCCAGGACAGCAGATCCCACAGGGAAGGAAGAAAGTACCGTCTATAGACTGAGGACCGTGGCCAGCATCAAGTGCTAGCCATTGAGGCTTTATAGAAGGTAATGGCAAAACACCAAAAAGTTTGAGAGTGAGATTGATCCATCTGAGTCAGGTTGGAAAGACCCATGAGCAGACTATCACATTAGACAGAGAGGAGCCATGGCCTGGGCAAACAAGATGAGGAGATGGAAAGTTTTATGCACATTGACACAAAACCCACAGCTCTCATCTTAAAGGGAATAGGAGATTGTTTATTCTGGAGCTAGTTTGAGAGACCATGGTTAGTGAACAAAGATTTATGTTACCTCAAATTCCATGTTTTCCATGTGGATACAGTTTCATAGTTTTATAGAACCAAGAAACTCAAAAATGGAGGTGAGTTTAAAATACATTGATAGGTACATGAAGAGATGGCACAGCAGACCATTAGTTCGCCCCAATCTAAAAGCTAACAATGTCATCAGAAAGCATCTTAAGGCAATAGAAAAGCTTCCTCTATCTTTCTGTAACAGCCCCTCTATGACTAGATAGTCACAGAATGTTAGTTCTGACATAAGTGAGAAAGGAATTAACTTCAGTGCTAAAGCTAATCTAAGAAAAGACAATTAGCCTCTGGATGACCTGTCATATCCTACCCTCCCAAAGTCACTACAGTCCTAATCAGTCAATCAGGTTTTACAGACATGGCTTCTTTCTAGGAGATCTCACTCTCATAGCACAAAGTAGAGTCACGAAATTACTGCCATGAAGAAGTCACAAGTGTGAAGATGTCAAAACCAAGTCTTGATAGGAACAAGGTGTCACTAAGAGAAGTAGAGATGACATTCAATGAGCTTGTTTAGGACTTATTCTACTGCAAGTTCCAGGCAGGTAGGTTTTTAAACCATAAAAGAAAGCCAAGGCTAGACAGAAGAGAGAAGAGACTGGGTGATGATCTCAGGGATGTGAGCCATGTGCTCAAGAAGGTTATTATATAGAAATTAGAAGAGGAAAGTAGGTGCAGTGCTGCCATGGTAAATCCAGAATGGAGAAATGGTGTCTGGAAGAGGTCACCACTCCTTTGCAGGGAGCCTTCCTTTTTCCCGATGAAAGATGAGAAAGATGGCTTACCCTTCCTATGGCTCACTTTCTAATGAGAAATCCCACCTAAATTATTACGATGCTAACAACCATTCTATAACTTCATGAAACCCATAACATGCTGGGCTTCAAATTACATCAGAGGAGAACACCGTCCTTATTCTCTAATTGACTCCTCAACTGACACAAAGTGAGTCAATGCTGTGAGGTTGACTTTACAGAAAAGTGATGTTTGCTTAAGGAACTATAGGAAAAAGCCCTAGCAGGCCAGACTGACAGAAGCACAAACAAAAGAGAGACACACATGCCCCTAGAAGGAAGACCTTGGCATCTTCCAGCCTTCTTGCACCTTGTCATGCTTTTTTTCCTCTCCGTAAAAAACCCTTCCAGCACCTGAGTTACCCATGATGAAGCTTTGAAGATACAGCCTTCCCATCTTCCCAGGGTGCCTGTCACTTAATGAAACTAACTAGCTTCCTTCCCAAACCTTTGTCTACAGAGCTTGTGATTGGTAAGCAGCTAGGCGTGAATCCAATGACGCTCCTTCTAATGTTGTATCCATGATGTTTAACATATTTTTCTTAAAGAAAGCAAAGCAAAAACTCCCAAGTTGTGTTGCTGGGTCACACTCTTAGCTACTTAGTGTTAAACTCACTGACAACTCAAACCTTAGCATGCCCCATTGATGTGATGTGCACACAGGGAAGGACTGACTATATTGAGCTATGGCAGCAGAAAAAAATAACAGAAAAGCATTAAAATGACAGACTTCTAAAATTTCCTGAGAGATATTTCCTTAACAACTATACCCAGGAAAATACCCCTGCTGTAAATACAGCTGGAGACAAATGTTTCATGGCACCAATATCAAAGTTGTCAATCCACTGGTTAGTCAATCTTCTCTCCATATTGTTTAGCTCATGTAATAGTATGAGGAACAGTTTAA